GTTTTAACTACTCTTGATCGAAACGACGCGGTGGTGCTGTAGGCTGAAACGCCGGCGATCTTTATTTTAGATATTTTGACATGAACATGCTATTCGGCTTGGGTGTGAGTTAAAATCCCGCGGAAAACTCGTTTTTGTAAATTGCAAATTTGTTTGTTATTTTAGCTTTTTATATTTTATTAATTTTATGAAAATGTTTCCTTCCATGCTATAAATGCCTATTAAGCCTATTTATGTGTACAAATACATAAATAGATGGCTGACACATATAAATGCCGCGAAATGGGCACTATAAATGCCGATTGTCACGCCCCTAGTGGCCGTAGACTCCTCATTTTTGCCAGTTCTTAGAACGAGCAACCGGCAACCCAAATGCAAAATTTGAATTCTTACGCTTCAAAAATATGAAAATTATAGGGTATTTTTCGATATGCCACGCACCTAAAGAGGCGTAAAAATTATTTTTGGGACATCGATAGAGGAGGCTACCAGTAACTAAACTATCCAACTATGCCACGCCCCTTATGGGCGGACATATATCTACCATAGCTCGTTGGACTTGGGTGGTCAACCCGCGTATATATACTAAATTTCAGGTCTCTAGCATCAATAGTGTCCACAATATAGCCGAATTCGAAAAATCACTACATCAGGTCCAATTTGCCACGCCCCTAGTAGGCGTAGATATATAATTTTTCACCCATCTTTATAGAATTAAAACATCAGCTTACGTGCAATTTCAGCATTCTAGAATTATAACTTTAGGAGATACAGTTTTGTCCATATTGCCACGCCCCCAATGGGCGGAGATACATTCGCCAAAGGTCGTGATCTTAAGTGGTCGACGCGAACCTACAAACCAAATTTCAGCTTTCTAGCTCTTCAACAAACATGATTTCTGATATATCGGAAAAAAAAAAATCCGATTTTCCACGCCCCTAGTGAGCGGATCGGGAAAAATTTAACACTTTATAAATCGGAGATATASACGAGTATGTGTTCCAAATTAAAAAAAAAATTATATATCCTACATCTTTAAAGCTACAGTATCCATTTTTATGTAGATTTATATGCTTATTATACAATTTCGGTTTTTGTTGAAATTCACCCCCAACCCTAATATCCACCCCTCACTCATATATTTGTAAAAGGCCTATTTCAAATACTAGAGACTTGTGGTTTGGCAAATGCACGCATTGCAATGTCACGATCTACAAGTTTCATGGAGATAGTCCATCGACAAGAAAAGTTATTAAACAATTAAGTTCCCATAGTAAACGCAGTCCATGCGTGTTTATGCGTGCATGCCTATGTGTGTGTGTGTCTTGTGTAAGCAGAAAGACGCGAATAATTATGGGAATATCAATTCTTAGAAGGGTTCAGGGGATTTCGAAGTCGAGCAGTCTCGACTTCAGCTTTCTTACTCGTTTTTCATTGTGTTCAATAATTCGATTAACTAGTGCTATAACAATAAAATAGTTGGATTTTTATTTAAGTAGGCAAACGACAATGCAGTTGATACAAGTTTAAGTTAGAGATAGAGATCTACATGACAAATTTCACAATTTTATTTAATTAGTTAAGTGACCATTTATTCCGACGCCTCTAGTTTCTCCTCCTGTTCTACATCTATTTGCGGTACAACCGCAGGCAGCAATAAAAACTCGTTGAACAGAAAGTCGGCGTCCATGGACTGCGTTTTGCCGTGATAGTCACGCACAACTCCTCTCTTGGGGGGCTCAATAAAGCGTTCCTTCACAATTAAGGCGCCGGAATGTGGTGCTGCCATAGTCACCGAAGTATTTGGAGTCGATGTACTACATCCAGCATCCAAGTCCAAAGAACAGCAAACGGACAGTGCATTGGGCAACGGATTATAATTGGCCAGGCCAGCTTTGTAACAGTCGCCTGTTGGTATTTCATGTCGTTCTTTTAAGAGTGTGGCATCGGGCTTATGTTTCGGAGAGCCATAAGTGAGAGAACCAGAGCCGTAGCCGACTCCACCACTACTTTTCAAGTTGAGACAGCTTTGTGTATGCGAAACATTCGCATAATCATCCTTAGTGCTGACCAATGGTACACGTTTTAATGTGTTACTCTCAAAAGGGAAATTAGAATTGGAAGTGGACTGCGTTAAATTTTCAAATTTACGTAAGCGCGCATCCTGGCGTAGTTGCTGTGCTGCCGCCGGCAAGTTGATCGACGCATGCAGTACGCTGGCTTCCACACTGGTGCCAGCACCTTCAAACAAACTGATCTGCTTCTGAATGCGGGGGGAAATTGGATCGTGAGCACGTCTTGCGATTTGCCGATTGTGCTCCGGTGATGCCTGTGTAATGTGCACAGGCATTGCAATGCGGAAATTTTGATCATCCATGGCCACATCAGGTGGCATAACAGAATGCGTCGGACAGCAGAAGCATGTTTCCAATTTTGGCTCCAAGTCGACGGGCAGCGAACGTATCGTTGCTGCTGACAGTGTTGCTTCTTCATTATCAAATCCCTGCAAGAGGTAATATAATTTTGTAATAATCAAGAGTGCTTTAAGAATACCCGATAAGCAGATATCTTGCAGAAACTTCTTCTATTAATCATTCTAGGACTCATAAATACTGGCACACACACATTCCCACATACGCACACATGCATTCACTTTTGTGAATGATTATAACAATTTACGCATACAGTTTATCCGCTGGTCTGGGCCTAAACAGATGATTAAATATACATACATGCATATATGTACATACATATGTACATGCACATGTACGTATTTACGTATATATTATTTATCAACATATTAATGCGCAGATCATATATACATATATGTATGTATCACCACTAACCATTGTATCCTGATTTCCCATTGAAAATGGGTTCAGGGTATAAAAAATGTACTGGCTATTAGGACCAGTGCTGCCAACTTTTTACCAGAAAAAAAAACTGTTTTTAGATGGAAGACACGGAAAAAAAAAAAGCTGCAAATTTTTACAAA